ATAAGCCTCGCGCGCTGGAAGGCAACACGCCGGTTCATCGCAGAGATTACAGCTGAGGGGGGGGGGGGGAAGCTTCATATCTTACATTTTCACTCAAGGCAATTTGCCACCTGAAGGTAAAGTAAGTAGAGAGAAAGAACCCCCCCCCCCCCCTTCAATGATGAATGTCGCTGTTTGCGTCCGTATTGTGCCGTGATAATTTCAGACTTCTGCATTGCATTTGTTCGTTGCCCAGTGTAATAAACATGTTCACATTGGATTTCATTGCAAAAATAAGTTTAGAATTAAATTTTGTCAGCTTTCATAACTTCACCAATTTACAAAGTGAAATGTCCATTTCAAATATCACCACAGACTAGTTTATGCAATTTCGTGCTTTTTTACTTTAAGGTTTTCAAATTCTGCCTAAATATAGAGGGACTTAAAAAAAAGTCGTAGTGTTCATCGCATGGTATTTCTTATAAGTAATAATCGACAAACAGCTTGAAATTAAAGCCCCGCAAATGACAAGATGTTTTGGGAGTGTTTAATCGCGTAAACACATTTTCAATGTGGGAGTCTCCAGCGCTCGCGCTCACCTTTCCACCATGAACCCCACGCGGGACACCGCGCTACGTGCCACCTTGTTCGCTGCCGTTCATTGAAGTTAATGCGAGAAACAGTCGGTGGTCGCGGGTGCTGATGGCTCCCAGAATGAGAGTGTGTTTTACTTAAGGAAAAACTCCCAAACTCCTTGTGCTTTGCGAGCTATCGTTTCAAGCGGTTTGTTTATTGTTGCGAAGACATTCGTTTGATGAGACATCGAGCGTCTTTTCTGAAACACCCTGTCTATGGCTCATACACATACAACGTATAATCTTACATATTACATTTATATTGCGTTCCTGTTGTTACACATTTAACATAATAGTATTATGTACTTGCAAACTCTGCCAATTTAAGCGCAGGCATTTTTTTTTTTACTTTCGTGCTGCGGACCGAATTTCAAAGAAAATCACGCTGGCCTTGTAGAATAGAAAGTTTTTTTTTTTATTAAACTTTGCTTGAAAAACAGCATGCAGAGAAAGGGTTAAAAAAATCAGGAAAATCAACATTCTACCACTTAAATCCGGAGGGTTGGCACATGTGGAATCATGTTCCACGTGTCGAAATTCAAACTGGGCAATTTTTGTCTCTCCGCTCTCTTTCATGATGATCCAATACAAATTTCATAAAGCACCCTGTATGTGGCAGCCTGTCCTTAACAAAATCCTTACAATTTCACCAGTTCTCATTTTCAAAAGTCCTTTTGACGGCGCAGGTATATTAATACCTGCTGGCTTATATCACCGGCTCCTTATGAGCATCTACAGAAGATAGATTTTTTTTTGTTCAGGAAACAATGGAGCACCGAGAAGCAATTGCAATATCATACCGCACGACAGAGGAAGAGTTCTTACTCCTACCGGCAGCTTTCACGGCACAGTACTTTTGTATAATCGAGAAGCCTCCTTGGCGTTCGTCACAGAAGAACACACCACGGATCCTCTGAGTTAAGCCGCTAATTTTATCCCCGCGGGTTTAAATTAGGGTTTAAGAGGGTTTGCTTGGAAGCGGCGCGGCCTTGCGTGGTCCCCCGCGTCCCCAAAGTGTCGATTGCATCCCCACGCTCGCCTGAGAGTGGGGGGGGGGTCTAAATCGCCCGGCACCTGCTGCGTCTCGCGCATCGTGCTGCCACCACCCCCACCCCCCGATGACAGAGGGGCCTCGCGTGGCGGCCTCACGTCACGGGAACCGGGCTCATGTCGGTGGCGCCGGCCGGGGCGGACGGATAAATCCGGCACGGGTGGGTTTTTTTTTTTAGGACGGTTCATGTACAGCGCAGGATCATCGAAGTCACTAACCTCTACGTTTATATGCGCTTTATTTCACGGCAACAATTTTCGGAAATCATCCTCTGTGACTGGGAATAACTTTGACTCCTTGCCTGACTCCACTATGATGGGTATTTTGTTGCTTCATGCTATCTCAGTAGTTAACATCTCGCCACGGTGGTGAGATGTTAACTACCTCGTCTGGTATACAAGAGGTTGTGGGTTAGATCCCGACCCTGATGCTGCCTGTATATTTGGAGTTTGCATGTTCTCCCCGTGGTCGCGTGGATTTTTCTCTAGGTCCTCCGGTTTTTCCCTCCACATTTAGAAACATGCGTTTAGAGCATTTGTCTGCTATGAATTTCCACATGATAAGCCACTTCGTTGAGCTATCATTTGTGGCCAGGTCGCTTCTCACAATGAGGTGGGCCTTGCCTGGTAAAATAAAAAAAAACATTGTTTAGTTTAGTGTTTTCTTTGCTTATATACATATACTGTATGTATTATAATAATAATTAACAAACATAATTGGTTTAGGTAACGGATTGTCAGGGCTTGGATGACTGCTTCAATTTCCGCTGAGTGGGATGACTTTTCATGTTCGACAAGAGGCTGACACGGGTGGTGCTGAGGAAAATGGATAAATCCAGCTTGGGTTTTTGGGACATTTCACGGAAAGTTCAGATCATTGTCATCAATCATTATAGGACCGTGCCACCTCCCATGCAGTGAATCTGGGATCAGGGCGCATATGAGATGATTACTCAATAAGGGGATAATAATTACTCAGCAACAATGTACAAAACAAAGCAGAATAAGCAAAAGGGTTAAGCTAAACCGTGCTTGAGACTACTCTCAAATGCAAATGCTTTGATTGGGGCTGTCTCGTGTCAGCTAATATTTTTCATGAAGCACCGTCTGCACATTGTAGCACACAAAAATAAAGAATTGCGCCAAGCAAGGTTGTACATTCTGTCTAAACCCTGCCAAACTTACTGTTTTCTTGGTGAAAATCTTCCATGCAAATGCGGTGCGGAATTGGATTTAAAACGTTTTCCATTTATCGCCATCATGTGTCAGATGCCAACAACCTCTGCTCCCATTTTTGGAGATAATAGATTTTATTTTTAGCTCCCCGGCGTCATGTATTGTGTCCCACCCCCGCCACCTTCATTGCTTGCGTGTCACGAAGTCTGTCATAAGGCAAGCGCCTGGGCCCAATTTAATTTGCTTAACATTTTTAGGGCGGCAACGCCGACGGAAGAGCAGCCCAATAGCCCCACCGAGGCTCTGCTTTTACCCCAGCACCTGTTCCCCTTGGCTCCAACTGTACTCGGCAGCGGAGCGATCTGCAAGCGGACGCCCTCCAGGCTGCACTGATACGCGGAGCGTAGCACGCGTTTGGGAGGAGAAAATCCCGGCCAGAGTACGCTTCCTGCTGACGTGGTCAATCCACTGCTGGGCAAAAGCCTCCCCAAGTTGCCGCCACTTCTCACGACCTTTCGATGTAACGGAGACAAAGATTCCCCGTATAGCCTCGAACGGTCTTTTGGAGCAAGTGCTGTTAGCGACCGCCTATGAAGGCCGGCAAGGCACACGAGGAGTGTGGGTGATCAGCACCACGCCTGACTGCCTTTGTCTCCTCAGTGGCGATGTTTGTTATACCGCACCAGGTGCTCATTTCAGGCTGAGTCGACCTAGAGGAGGTCAGGGACCGGTTCAGATAATCGTCCCCAGTGTTGGCCGTGAGTTGGAAACGTAATCGGGTCGCCAGGGTTTGTACCGCATTGCGCTCACTGCTACACCACCGCTCCCCTCGATGTAACTATCCACCTTACCACCTGCACACGAACTGATTTCATTGTTCCATCTCCTCGGTTGAACGCCTTCGCAGGCACGTTCCTTTCCTTGACCTTTGTGCCGTACAGCTGTGCTTCGTAGACGTTTATATCTACGCGACAAATTCCAAAATAAAAACCGGAAATTACCAGAAGTATGCGACCTTGCGTCGGATACAATCGTCTGGCATAAACACGCGTCCAGCAACATTATGCCACTAATGGGTTTGTCGTAGTAATGTTGGGAAACGTTTGTGGAAATCGATTGCAGGTTATCGTTGTTTTATTATCACTCTTCTTTTCCCTAATGTCACTCTGCTTTTCCCGAGAGTGCTGCGCTTAAGATTGCGTGGCCACAGCGCTTGTGCATACTCCCTCCCCAGCGGAGAGATCAAAGTGCATTATTCATTCTTTAGAATTTCGAGGGAGTGCAGACAACTTATCAGACCCAAACCACTGACAATGCCTGTGTGTCGGATTAATGTCCTGCCACAGGGCAAAGCCAAAAACTAATTTTAATAAAATGGACTTCTCAACCGCTGAAGGCAATTGAATTTAATCGTCCCATGCACATATAACGTTGGTTTTCCTTCTTCAATGGCCCTATTTCCAAATTTATTTCTGCTAAACTAAAATACTACGGGGGAAAGTTTTTGCCTTCGATATATTCCTGCATGAGCTCGCTTGTTACATGTTCATGTATTTTGGTGCATATTAGATATTATATGCTGATATATATGACAATAAATGCTATACATTTTTTAAAGACTGTATTGGCGGTGCATGGCTCACATGTATTTATGTATATACTCATATTTTTATGAATATTATATAAACTTTGAGAGTTATGGACAATTAGCGTCACGAATATTCCTAATCAGCCCGTGAAAGTCTTTAATTTGGTGGCGTATTTTGTTGTAAAATGTACATTCCCCAATAAAATGGTGGTGCTTGGTACATGCTTAATTTAAAGTTTGGTAATATAACGAAGTTTGGTTTCATAACAACATTTGGTATTATAATATAAGCATAATAAAGGTAAAGGAGAAGCCCTGCAAGTGCTTGCTCACGTCACTGCTATTGGAAGGGCCTCCACTGAAGCGAGCTCCAGAGAACGTCTCTAGCGGGGTATTTGGCCTACTCTTTCACGCTGGCCAGACATTCTGAAAGAAGTTGGAGTTATCCACATTTGACCCCACAATACGCGACCTGCCGATCGAGTGCGCGTACTAACAGCGTGAGAAATGGCGACGCTCTACGGCGTTCCACATTTCACTTCTTCCTTTCTTTTCTGTTTCCTTTTCCGCAGAGGAGGACGCAGGGAGCAAGCCGCTGGCCGAGAGCGCCGGCGACGACGCGGAGCACAAGGCAGTGGAGAAGTCCAACAGCACGGACCCGCCACCAGACTCCAGGTCCTCGGACTCTTCCCTCTCCCTGCTCTCGCCCGAGGAGATCAAGTCCATCGGCGACTCGCTGAGCGTGGAGCCCAAGGTGTCTGGCGACAAGCGGCAGGACGGCGATGGGCACGAGGTTCAGAAAGCCAGCGACGACGAGGGAGCTGCCAGCAACACCAACAACAACAACAACGCGCTGTTGGTGCCCGCCTTCGCTCGAGACGAGACGCTGTCCACCACCAACACTGGCGGCGGCGGTGGCGGCCGCGGTCCGGATTCATCCGTGCGGGCCCACGGAGGCGCCGTCGCGATTCCGATCGACAGCGACCACGCGGCGAGCTCCGATCCGAATCCCCCGTGGCCTCGCGCGTTTGTCTAGGAGGCGACGGCCGGCAGGAGCCTGCAGGTGAGTGTCTCGTCTCGTCGCGCGAAGCGATGACGTCGCCGCGGACCGTGACACCTGCCAGCTTACTGGGGGAGGAGCGCACCGGGCGCGAGCCGCCGTTGACGGACTCGCGCGGTGTTTAGTGCAGGCAGAAGGTATGCACCTCCTGTGTGCTTTTTTTTGTTAATTCTGTCGGACTTACGTAAGTTTTAAATGAAATGCCTTCGCAACAAACCAATCCTCCCGCACACTCGCCTGCTTGCGGCATGACAAGGGCATTCTACCTCGTTGTCATGGTGAGTAAATATAGGATTTTGCAAGGGATACAATTTCGAGTAAGAAAGCAAAGCGCAAGAGATGAACTTTCTTTTTATCAGCTCTGCTGACTGCTGACTGACAAATGTGCTCAAGGGTCCAGCTGTCATCTTTTGAAAGGAAGCAACACCGATGCCTAATCTGGGACAGGTATTAATGCCCCACATTATGCAATGTATCCTGCCTCGCGTGTTTGTCGGGGACACACGGACCACAATAATCACTCTCAGGGTCAGGGGTATCAACGTGTAATTTGGGCTGGACGAGTCGTTACCACTGGAGGGTCTGCCAGTGACACCCGGGCCTTTGATGTTCAAATGCTATTCGTGTATCGCAAGCAAGGCGGTAAGCCTTCTATTGCACAGCAATCATCAGCATGTATTTTCATTTTAATTGTACATTTTATTCGGACTGCATTGAGCATCCCTGTCCAGAAAGAAGCTTAGGCATTTGAAGCCTGATAAATTATTATTTATTTCACGTTTTCACTCCGACCTTTGTGAGTTAACGTGTAATAATAATCGCGTTGAGAAAATGCTTATATTAGAAGCATTGCTATTCTTGTTTATTCTCTGCTGCTTCAATAGATTAATAATGCGGTCTTAGTGTGATTTTCGGAGCCTTGTGAATTTACACCAACTCCTGGGAATTGGGAATTTAAATGTACGCAATATAATGCTTATCTGAAATGATCTTGGATTCAACATTATACTGCCAGCTGGTTCTATTATAGATATTACCCCTGTTCTATTAAGGCCATGCTAACCAAATAGGAATTTAAATAGACACAAGGAGCACTTCTAAAAAAAAAATTGCTCCTTAAATGCAATTAGGATGGAGTTATGGGGTGGGCCATGCAAAATTACAATTTTAATAATTCATGACTTTTTATATTATGGGATATTGGCTAGTTTTCTGACCTTGTGTGGAATATAAAATACATGATTTGAATATTCCATCTATATATCTGTGCAGTGTTTATTTAGTTATGTTTGCCTGCAGGTAAAGGCAGATTAAACGTAATGTGCACACAAAGCGAGCGTTGACATTCATTTGTAGGTGATCAGAATGACATGTCGGGGGGAGGTATAATGGCAAATCCATTTGCGTTGGAGCAGTGGCAAGGTGATGACGAGAGCCCACAAGCGTCCTCATCACTACTGCCATGTGTGACAGCATACGACAGTGAACTGTCACCGAGTTTGGAATCCTAAGATTGGTTTAAAGTACCCTTACCATCATCGTTATCATTTCGAGTGCATTGTACCAACGTATTCTTGGTTCTTTCGGTAAAGTCACGTAGAAGGAAAACAATAAAACAATTAAAAAAACAATATTAAACAATAAAATTATCACGACGTTTCGACTACAACACAAGCAATCATCATCAGGTGTTTTATATATTTTGTATTGTTTTATTGTTTCCCTTCTACGTGACTTTACCGAAAGAACCAAGAATATCAATCCCTGCAGTCACGAAAGCTTTAAATAAAAATGTACCAATGTAGTTCGAGAATTTGTGGGCACAGACCCTTGATTAAATAGGGTGCCACGTTGGTGAGATGTTAACTACCTCACCTGGTATACAGGAGATCGTGGGTTCGATCCCAATCCTGACGCCTGTTGTATATTTGTATTCTAGATTTGAAGCTATCGTGACTGCAAGGATCCATACTCTTTGGTTCTATTCGGTAAAGTCCCGTAGGTAAAAAATAAAATAACAAAAAAATCACGACGTTTCGGCCACAACACAAGTGGCCTTCATCAGGTGAAGGGACCAGACTGTCCAGAGGACAGCGTTTGAGTGTCCTGTTCTCCCCGTGGTCACGTGGACTTTTCTCCGGGTCCTCCTGTCCCCCCCCCACCCCCCACACATTTAGAATCGACACGTGTTCAGAGTTTTTCGCTGCTGTACATTCCCACGTGATAAGTCACTTCGTTGGGCTATCATTTGTGGCAGGGCCCCTTCTGACAAAGAGCTACACAGCTCATTGGGCCTTACCTGATCAATAAAAACAACCGTTAGCTGTGCATGGCTCCTCGAACAGATATAAGTGGAGAGGATGAGTTCTCATGTTGCTCATCACCGCAGTCCGTGCTCTGGGCCTAGTCGACATGGGCCCACGTCTTGAGGCTTTGCGTAGAAGCAGCCGACACCAACCATACAGAGGCGGTTCCAGGCATCGCCAGATTTGCCCGTTGGGTCTCCTGACCCTGCTGGAAGAGAGAGAGAGAGAGTGAGAGAGAGTCTCCGTCACTAGTGGCCTCGTTTTAAGCAGCTGCTGAAGTTCACGCAGCTCATGCGTTCCGTAAACGCCCTCACGCCAGACACCGACGTTGACGCGCCACGTCAGGAGGAGCAAATCGTGCGTGGTGTTTTGAGACTTTCGATTCGCAAGCCTCCAAACGTGGCTCCATTCTCTCCAAAAGGGTAGTGGACCGCTGGGATTTTACAGTTCTGCGAATAGGAGTTGGTGCTGCCTTAAAAAAAGTGAGTTTAACTCGTAGGCTTTCGCGACCAATATCATCCATTCGAGGTTTTTTGGGCCAGATCGCGTAAATATAGATGCGTCGTTAAATTCGCCACCACCCGACACAGCCAATTAGTAAGGTTTGTCAAATAAACACAACAGACAAATTTGGCTGTCGCCTGATGAAGCTAGTTGTAATTACTGCCAAAACGTCGTACTCAGATTGTAAATGTCGTGGATTTGCTCTCCAACACACCGGTGTGCTGTGCTAGTAAAGAATTGGCACGTTTTGTTTACGTGACAAACTTTATTATTTGGCTGTGTTGGGTGGTGGCGGGTATAATGACACATTTATATATTTACGCGATCTAACCCCCCAAAAAAATCTATATTGAAAAAGTGACCCTGCACCAAAACGTTGACTTGGTAAGAATTATTCTGGGAATTAATCGATACCTACCTGTATACATGGGCAGTTTTAATTGGTGCCAGTTGGCGAAAACTCTCTATTGAGTCATGGTTACTGGAGGGAGCACTCGAAGACTGAAACATCTCTATAAATATAAGTCACGTCAATACTATTTGCACATCTGTGCGTCAACATGCGACTCGACCTCATGCAATGCTCTGCACAAACTTTCTTTTATTCTGCATTGAAACTTGCAGCACTACATGTGTTGACTGTGACGCAGGTGTTACTGAAAATTATATATCCACGTTGGTGCACACACACACACACCAGTAAAAAATAAAATGCCTTCGGCTTAAAGGACATTTTGCACAATTTCCGCAGATGCAACCTTTCGAGAAAATTGCACGGCGCGCCGCAGTGATTTGGAATAATTGCAGCTTTTCCACGAACGTTTAAACGCACGCCAAAGGAAGGGTACAAATAAATAAATAAAACGCCGCGACTTGACAGGACAAGATGTCACAATCGCAAGCACCGCAGTGGGTAGATGAGCCGGTGGCACTCTCAGATCACGTCGACAACAACATGGAATGCTCTCCGCCACCCGCTGTGCAACGGCACAATCAGCCTCCCCCAGAGCCAAGCACAGCCTCCCGTTGCCTTTTGACTATGCACTCATAAGGGAGCCGCGCATGCCATCAAGCTGAAGGTAAAAAAAAGTAAATGTGCAAGCCCTCCAATTATTGCTTGCCCGCGCAACCCCTGGCGGGAGGGCCTTAGGTCTGCAGAGGCCCAACTCTTCGACGCTGGCTATAAGGTGACTTGGAAGCCGTGGGAAGTGCCCACACTTTGCCCCACCACATGCGACCTGAATCAAACCGCGGTTGCAATCCATTCACCGTTGGCCGTCTCGTCAGATCGATCTGACGAGACGGCTCCCACATGAAAGATGACGATGTAGTGCCGCGTGAAAGGGGCCTTACGTGCTGCTCTCTCCTCGGCAGCTGCGGTCACGCATCGGCTTTCAGCTAGTTCGACGTCGTTGGTTGAGCATGCAGGATCTCCGCAGGGACCCGTCTTTGCGCTATCTCTTCCCAGTCACCGCTGTCGAGATTGCACTCAGCCAGCTATCGCTCTCGGCCAGTGATCACTTTATATTTATACTGCTGGGTGGACACGGGCGTGTGGGACGGGTGTTTCAAAAAAACACACTTGCCCCATTAGTTCAACTGGCGTGCCGGGAGATTTAGCCAGATCGGCGACCTCTGGATTGCACGTTCAGTGTTGCTAATTAAAACGGCACACTACCATGGCCCTACCATTAAGCAAACAAGACCACTCCAAAGGCCCCATTCTCTATCGCTGAAACGCATGTATATCGCAACGGTCTTTTGGCTGGCAAGGTGCTATTAGAATTGGACAGTAAATTCCGCATGTCTGAAACAAGTCTTCAATGGGTGCCTGTTTGGTGTCATTTTTTGGCAGGCCAAAAGTCTTTACAGCTGCTGCTGCAAAAGTAGAGTAGAGGGGATAACATTCTTTGCCAAAAAAAAAGAAAATGTTTATTTAAAAATAAATGTCGACTGGCTATGAAATATGGGGGGGGGGGGAGGGGAAACATTGTATAGCCAGCTGACATATGATGGAAAAAATAATTAAATCATAAATCTGCTCCTCATATGGTCGCAAGAGTTCCTAAGCATTGCAAATTTACGTCTTTTCTGACGGGGAACGTTGTTCCAACGACTCAGCTGTGTACACTGCAGGCAATTGGCACTAACGCTCCACTGCTTTAACCGTGGCTCATCTGCAGGATGCATATG